GCAGTGCGTACTAGGTGTAATTCCTACCACGGAATATAATACGCCAGAATAAAAGTCGCGCGGTTAAATATCGCAGTGCGGACAGGGCGTAATAAAAAGTATAGTGATATTATATATAGTACAATTATATATATATATTAGTACAATTATCATAATTAAACAGTTCAAGTGAAAATCACTTGTTCACTGTTCTTGCTTACATTTGTTAAATCTATATGTCAATAAATGTATTATTGTTATCGTTATCAAATACAATATTAGATTACAAGACCACCACAAATCGACTACACTCGATTGGTCCACGACATGCAGAGTTTACATTATTTACCCTCATGACTAAGGCACTGGTTTCATTTTGCTAAGAGAAAAAGAACACTTTCCAAATCAACCGAACCATTTTTTTAATACATTGACGTATTATGTACTAAATATTTCGGATATATACTATTACAACCACCAACCAGAAGCCAGCGAGCTGCCGCAGTGTCGAGTCGTTCGTCATAGTGAGTCAACATCAACAACATTAATCATATTATATTCAATCACTATAAAGTTATAAAAGCACACCGATTTAGCTTCTGTGATGATCAGTTTCCGCAATACTTACAGCTATAAGGAAGAACTAGTCTGGCCATAAATATTGTTACATTTTTAAAAGCCATCAATTCCTTTTTTAGGAATTCAAATTTAATACGTCTACTAATTCAGAAACATCTATCGATTTCCCTTCTTTTCGCTATATTTTAAAAGGTTCTTGACAAAATATGGAGTAAAGTGAGGTGTTAAAGAAAACTGAATATGTTACTAGGATGTAGAATATAATCCCATCAGGTCTATGAAGGACCAATCGATGATTACGTCAAAAGTAGGTAATAAAACTAATAAAATAATATCGATTAAAGAAATGACAAACCTCCTCAGTAATTCATTTTGTTTTAGAAATAATATAATAAACAACAGACAAAAACTAGTTTCCTCCCTAAGTGTTTCAAGTGGTTCCTCAATACAAAATTAAGGTACACACAAAAAGCTGCTAGTAATCAGTATTAACATTTCATCTGCTGTATTTAAAAATATTTACATTCATAAAAAATTATGTTGTTTGACGTCTCAATAAGTTGATATTGATACATCAATCTAATATAATACACCAAAAGTGATCTATCAAGGTATATATTTTCGGGTAAAATATAGTTGTATTTTTTTTATCCGAATAGTAATTCAGGACATCAAATCAAATCCTGCTACTTACGAGAACTTGATGCTTAAGTGCAAACAATGGCTGGCAACATTGTCAATAGAAATAATGTGATGGCGCATAAATTCGTGATTAATACATAAATTCAATATAAGATTTTCTTATTGCCTAAACTTCAATATAAAAATAACTCATACAGTGACATTATGAAACGTTTCTATGCGCTAATAATTAATTTAATTAATGTATTTTAATTTGAAAACTTATGACCAGACTAGCTATATAAAAACACCCGAAACTTTAGAGCAATACGTAATTTAGATATACGTAATATGGATATTCGTCATATTCATGTTTATGATGAATGGCTATTTAAAAACACATAATTTCATAGTCGTTTGGTCGTCGTTTTATAAATATTTTTTTTACTATAAAAGTTCGGAACCCATTTTAGTTAAACACCAAAGTGCGTTATACTACACTATAAACTACAAACTAACCACATACAGTTCATAATTATAGACGAGTATTAAGAGAATATGTGATATTTATCAGAAGAGTTGCGAATTGTTAATAAGCACATTACAGCTAAATCAGTCGATAGCAGTCTAAAACTTAGATCGATTTACATTGAGTCAACAACAGGCACCAGCCCATTATTCAGCACGAACTCAGTACTACTAATTATTGTTTTCAATGTCGTCTAGTGTTGCCTGAAACAGAGGAGGCGCCATGTTTTAAAGGTATTGCGCTTGCCCCTCTCGGCACCAGTAGTCTTATGTATACACTATAATCAGTGCTTGTCAGCAAAATTAAGGGGCATTTGAACTGGCGTTGGTCGACTAGTCACCAGTCACCTGCTGCTGGCTCAATGTAAGTCGGCTGTCAATTACATTTGCCAGCAAACTAATTGATAAAATATTTGTACTCAGTTGCAGAGCTCTACAGTACGTGAACTAAACTTCAACGATGCGCCATTTGTTGTTGTTACTTTCTACGTAGATATCATTATTTCGTGATATTTTAAAACACAATATCAAAAAAATCTAATAAAAACACTTGAAGTAATTCGTTATTCACAAAAGGATACACATTAATCGAGAACATTGTATCTTTATTAATAAAGAAATGTAACAATAACATAAATAATTGGAACGCACTTGGTAGCCACGAACATGTAGAACCTATTACATTAAAAAATTAAACTTGAAAATAATCCAGAACAAAATCAGTCTCAACGTAAACCTTAAATATTATTTGTACAACATGGCAGTGGGTTTTAACTTAAGTACAGAATTCAGTCTCTTCAGATCGCGGACTTCACAGCTCTTTGGTTACCGATTTCACGCGGCGGTGGATACTTCAGGCGGACAAATGTTTATGTTATAATGTAATCAGAATTATATATGTAAATACATACTTCTTGTCAGTTCTTGGTACTTTTTGTAAGTTTTATACTTGCGATATGAACCGTCACCGACGTACTTTCACCAAGATAAATCGATCCAATTAAATTAGTACAGAAACTTTTAAATATTTCTGATTACGTTCTTATAAACTAAAGAAATCAGAGAGCAACGGTGTATATAATATGTGGTAAATTATTATATATATATTAAATGACTAAAATAAATTAAAAAAAAACATACAAAAAAACTACAACAGTAGGTCCACTACATTCTAATAGAGCAATATGAGCTCTGATGCAGTAATAATGCAGATCGATGACTAACATTCAATTTGGTTAGGTACTTATTCGCTACAGTTAATATCCACTAAAACCAACCGTTAGTCAATTCTTACCTTACTATATATTAATTCTTATATAAAGCTAGCTGTGTTTTGACGTCATTGCCACAAGTAGCCGCCGAGACTATAAAAGACGACGGTTTGCGTTAGTTTTGTTTCTACTCTTTTTAATATTTTTACTTATTTAATTTTTATTACATCTTCATAAAATAATACAAATGACGAACTTAATGCTATTGCTACGAGGCATTCACTACCAGAGGAGGAATTTGAAGCCCTGAGGTACAATAAATAATAAATAAAGACAAAAACAAATATAAAAAACATATGGCACATAAGTAACTTAGCACATTTTAGGTAAAATACACAGCGTGTTAATAACGAGTTATATAATAAGATACGGTCATTGAAAGAATATTTTTATCCGTTAGAATCTGCAATGGACAAACAATAAATATATAAGTACACATACATAACAAGTTAGAAGATCTCTTGATTGTTCGATTAAATTACATATAACAAAAAATGTCACTTATTCTAAAATTATATTTCTTTGAAAATATTTAAACACTTTTACACGATTTATTTTCAATATTAGTTAATGTCCAAATACATCAAGGTATACCCTTGTTTATTTCAGTCTCATTGTTGTATTTGCATTGAATATTAAACAAAATTATAAAATAAAATGCAGGTTGCAGTCACTGGGATGTAGAGTTGGAATGTACTGTGTATGTAGGTATTAATAATGAAGTTTTACATAAATATTGTTCGTATAATATACAAGTTCTTTACAAGTTCATAAAAAATCATATTACAGAACAGAAAGTTAATGACGTAAACTTCTATAAGGTATTGTGTAGTATGATGGTAATAATATGTATGATAATTAAAATGATGCCGGCATCAGTTTGATTATCATGTCCACTTTATTCTTGCTGACACAATTTGATTGTTTCTTTACGTGCATTTTTAATAGTGTTGCTTGGTACATATATACATACATTGTTTTACTTTTATGACTTGTGTATCAAAATCTATTTCTAAGGTAGGCGGAAAAACGAACTAAGACACTAAGTATTATGTTACAGTCAGTGGAAAGCGGTATATATCGTCCATATATTTCTTTATTGCTTACGTTTCTTATCGCATTACATAGTACATGGTGAAGTGGGCGTTGTATTCATTCAGATATAACAAACCTGTTTCGATATGTGAAAAAAAATTGTGTATGCTTACTGTGAATTATTAATTTTGTTATTTCTAATTACTGACTCATATTATTGTATTTTATGCAGATTATTTGTTTGAATACAATATGAAAGAATAAATATAAAATTAATGTACCGATATGGTCCATTTGATATTTGATTGATATTTTGTGAGAAATAACCTTACGTTTTCATAATATTAATAAAAATAGTAGATATCGATTAGATGGAATAGAGATCAAATTTGGTATTTGAAAATGATGAAAAGGTTGGTTATTTCTGCAGTACGTTTCAAGGTAATATTATATGTTTGCTTTAGAAATAGACTTTTGTTTTATAGTAATTTATAAATATGAACACATTTAGATGACTATAAGATCGTCATTTTGAATATAATAAATACGATCAGTAATTTTAGTTTCTGTTTCTGTTTCTGCTTATCCATAAGAGTTTACTATGGCGTACTTAAGTATTAATTATTTTTGCATTTTTCTTTTTCTGTTTTTATAGTCATTTTGTGAACAGAGATAAAGAGAGATAGAGAGAGAAAGAGAAAGAAAGAGAGAGAAAGCAACTCTAAGCATTTTTTAAGATGTCGTCGATTTTTGTGAAGGCCGATAATGTTTAAGTATTTTCCAACTAAAGAGAAGGAGATTGTGAGTGAGATGGATATAATATAGTGATGTGATTTCGGTTACGGTGAGAGGGTCTGTGGCGACCGGGCTTCGCATGTTGCGTGCGATTTGGGGCGTAGCGCAGTCTGTACTTGATAGGAGTAAAGCAACGGGAAAGATCGAGGGGAAGAGTGAGACGGAGAGAGGGAGATGTCATTGGCGTGGTGACTAGGCCTTGTAGGGCGTGTGCGGCTTGGGTGTGAGCGCGAGCGCCAGCGCCAGCAGCAGCGCCAGCACGTGCGCCGCCAGCAGCGCCGCCGCCGCGCACAGCGGGCCGCGCGCCGCCGCCGCCAGCGCGCCCGCCGCCCGCGCCCCGCACCCCGCGCCGTGCAGCGCGCCCCCGCCGCCCGCCTCGCCACCCACCCGCACGCGCCGCGCCGCCTCGCACTCGTACGCGTCCTCCGTCTGCAACGCACACCCGCCTGCCCGCTACACTCGCGTGGACCCCGCACCCACTCGCTGCACAACAATACGCCAACGAGCGGACACCATTTTCATCACCATCATTACAGCCCTTCACAAGTATACCGACGATCATAGGCCTCTCGCAAACAATGCCACAAACCACGGTCTTAAGCCACCTGCATCCTTCGACTTCTTGCACATATTACCAGGGCGTCACTCCATCTAGTGGGAGGCCGACTTACCGGTACGAGATTGCCACTAAAAAAAAACCTTTCTTCCTCGTAGATTATCGGTTCTTCCAGCTATATAGCCAGTCCAATACCACTTCAGCCAAACCAATCCGTTGAACTATTTTTAAACCTATCATTTTTAAATCTACCACGCAAAGAAACCCCAGCATTGCCCTCTTCTTAACCCGCTGAGCAACTTTGAGCTTCCCCATACCAATTTACTACAAACACTATTTTACCACATTTTTATTAACTCACTATCGTGTATGTTTATTCGACTCGAATTTTATAATTAACTAACTGTTCCCCGCGACTTCGTTCGCGTTTTAGGGTTTTTATGTTTTTGCGCAGAACCCTAATTATTTTTCTAAAATAAAAGTAGCCTAAGTTACTCCTTATCAAATCAGCTATCTGCCAGTGAAAGTCCCGTCAAAATCGGTCCAACCGTTTCGGAGATTAACCGGAACAAACAGACAGACAGACAGACAAAAATTTTAAAAATTGTATTTTAGTTATAAGTACCGTATTTACTTTCATATGAATTTAGTAAAAAAAAATAATTTTGACATTATAAACAGACACTTCAATTTTATTTATTTGTATAGATATATAGATTTAATACTAACTTCCCAATGAAGTAAATGAGGGTAGACTTAAAATTTTGAACATAGCTCAATATCAGATGACAATGTAAAATATGAAAAATAAACCGGCCAAGTGGAGTCGAACTCGCGCTCCGAGTATATATTAAGTTTAAAATTATTAAAAATATTTTTATTATATGATGTAACTAAAAATTTATGCTTTTTGAAATTTTTCCTTTATCTGTGCTATAATACGTTGCTTCGTACTAAATTTTAAGATTCTGAGTTCACGGGAAGTACCCTGTAGGTTTTGATTCCCTTGCGAATGTCGAAAATTTGCGGCATAAACGGCTGTATCTTTTAATTGCGTTGGCTTAGAAGTTTGATTTTTTCACAGCTCCAAGGGACAGTAGACTTGAGTATTTGATATGAATTTCAGCTTGATTACCTCCACGCGTTCCTGAGAAAAAGGGTCTTGACAGACAGACAGACAGACGGACAACAAAGTGATCCTATAAGGGTTCCGTTTTTTCCTTTTGAGGTACGGAACCCTAAAAAAGAACTTTGTACTTTTTAATCAGTTTTAAAAACGTATTATATTAGAAAAATACTAAAATAATTACACACTACTAACAACTTAATCCATCTCAGTTTTAAAAGACAAAAAGACGTCTCAATATTAACTCTTATTACAACCTATGTACTTATTTGCGCCACTCATAAATCTATCATAATCTCTAAACATTCCTCTCATTTCAAAAAAAAATTTGAACAAGTAAATGTCTGTCACAACTACTAACATGCTAAATGACAAACTCCATATCTTTGTATTGATATTTTCCTACACCGCGGAAAAAAAGCTTGAATTAAGGCTTTTCTACGACGAAGAATCTTCAGAGTAAGAATTGACGACAAATTCGCAAATGAAAAAGAAATACAAAGCGGTGTACCACAAGGCTCTGTATTGGAACCATTATTGTTTATACTACTTACTATTGATCTACCTAAAAGCTTGAGTTGCATACTTTTATTTACCTTGTAAGAAAAACCTTCGGGCATAATATACCAAAAATGATGCTAACAATATATAAAACCCACACCTACTTTGAAACATGCATTCAAATTCTTGAGTAATATTATCTTATCACTTTATTCCCATCGATTGTCTCTTTCAAATAAATACATGACAATGTAATATTTTATCCAACTGCCCCAGAAAAGGGTAATTTTTTCTCCATAACCTAAACCTGTAGGCTTGACATATGAAACGTCGTAAAATATATTTTAGTTGTGGAAATGACATATGGTAGAAAATCTTCCCCTTTCAGCAAACTCTTGGCCTTTGGCATTGGGTTCATTTTAAAGAAGTAAGAATAACAAAATAAATGATCGTAATTCATAACAGTGCACCTGACGATAAAAAGATAACGTGGCCTATACACACTTTTATTCTACCCTCAGTTGAGATTTAACAATTTGCTGCTACTACTGCTACTACTACTACAACAACATCACAAGTCACTGCTGTACATAACTTTCCATAGATTGTCCGACTTAAAAATCATAATTTTTAATTATTCTTCTTTTAACTTATAAAATTGAGTAATTTGGACACTGACCGCGCAGCAGGAAGCGGGCACCCAGTAGTAGAGGGCGGGTGCACTGACGGACAGGTCGAGGGCGCCAGCCGCCCCGACCACCCCGCCCTCTCCGGCCTCCCCTCCCGCCCCGTGCTCGCCGCCCGCCCACGCCGAATCCTGCCAGTCGCGCAGCCCCTCCGCTCCGCAACACTGCAACTGTGCCACGTAAACAAATTAACGATACATATACATTGTAGTAAAATAGTTCAATTATACAATTATACATTTGAGAATTAAAATATATGGATATAAATCTTATTTTATTTGACTGCCTTAGAAGGAGTGTAAAGCTTTTCAACAGTATGTGTGTATGTATGTCTATTTCTTTGGCACCATCTGTAGCTTAAACGGTTTGATAGAATTTAACTTTGTTGTTTCTGAGCAACCATTATTATACAGGAATGACATACATCTACACTACACTACATCTAGACTACGTCAAATCATATTTGGTGTGTATAATAATGCTTTGTTTTTTTATAGGAGAACGGGCAAACGAGTATACGGTTCCCCTGATGGTAAGTGACTACCACCGCCCATGAACAACTGCAACACCAGAGGAATTACAGGTGCCTTGCCTTTTAGGCTCTTTTCTTGAAGATCCCAAGTCGTATCAGTCCGAAAAAATCGCCGGTGGTAAACTATTCCACAGAGAGATTGTACGAGGAAGAAAACTCCTAGTAAAACGTACAGTGGTGGACTAGCAAGCATCCAGATGATGTTGATGGTATCGGGAGTTTTGCCGTGATGTGCGTTCGTGAAACTTGGCGGCTGGGATTAATCCGAACAATTCTTCAGAGCACTCCCCGTGGTAGATGCGAAAGAAAATGCAAATAGATGCAACATCTCTTCGCAGCACCAGTGAATTGAGCTGATTGGAGTGGTTTCGGTCATCGACGATTCGAGCCGCTCTGCGCTGGATGCGGTCAAGTGGAAGGAGCTGACACTGGGTCACTGGGGAGCCCCAGCTCAGAGATGGGAACAGTATTCCATGTGAGGCCGAACCTGCGACTTGTAAAGTCGCAGGCGGTGTGCCGGCATGAAATACTGCGCCGCTCTGCTGAGCACGCCGAGCTTTTTACAGGCAATTTGGCCTTCTCTTCCAAATGACCATGAAACTGCACATCATTCGATATGTCGATACCGAGGACTCCGATATTTGCTGAGGCATCAAGGGGGAGTGCCTTGAAACTGAGGAGATACGACAAAGGGGTTCTTTTTAGCGGTAAACGCGCAAACTTGTGTCTTCTGGGGATTGAAGTGGACTAGATTTAATCGCCCCCAATCCGAGACTTTGTTCAGCAAAGACTCGACTTCAGACACAAGTTTGTCCCGGTACTCGGCGACGTTTTCCCAAGAAATATTGCCACGGCCGGTATATAAGGCATCACCAGTGATGTCATCCGCATAGCAATGAATGTTAGCAGTTTGCAACATATCATTGATATGCAGAAGAAACAGCGTTGAAGATAGCACGCAACCTTGTGGAACACCAGCATTAATGGGCTAATAATAGGAACATGCACCGTTTACTACGACCTTGATACTTCGATCTGCAAGAAAACTGTTGATCCAATTGCATAATTTCTCGGGAAGCTGATAGGAAGGGAGCTTCGAAAGAAGCGCATTGTACCAAACCCGGTTCAAGGCCTTCGCATTATCCAAACTAACGGCTAATGTTTCCCCGTTAAACTCTACTGCTGCCTCCGCCCATCTATGAGTCAGGTAGACCAGAAGATCACCAGCTGATTGACCCCGACGGAAACCGTATTGGCGGTCACTAATCAGCTGGTGATCCTCAAGATACCGTATGAGCTGGCAGTTTATAATGGATTCCATTATTTTCGGGAATAAGGTGATGGCGATAGGTCTGTAGTTAAACGCGGTTACCTTTTTTAGGTATCAGGTGGACGAAAGATGTTTTCCATGAATTTGGGACTACGTCTAGGGAGTAGGAGTATCGGAAAAGATGTATTAAAACAGGTGCCAACTTCGGAACACACGTCCTCAGCATAATTGGGGTTATTACCTCATGCCCACTCTTCTGTGTTCAGGGAGAGGAGTGCTTTGCGAATCAAGCGCTGTGTGAACAGAACATCCGGCATGGAGAACTCACACCGCGGGATGGTCGGCGGTGTGCTCACCCCGTCATCGAGGGTCGAGCTGGACGCAAAGAAAGAGCCTAGCGAATTGTCCTTCGGTCACCTGCACTCACCAGACGAAACGCAGAAGCAGAGCTTTTATTTCACGCTGGTGTTCTGTGGGGTCGTGTTACCATCCCGACTCGAGCCGGCCCATACGTGCAACAGGAAAAGCTGCCGCGTGGCTTTACTTACTACATGGGGCACACTGAAATGATCGGGAATAAGAAAAACTACATGCACGGTATAGCTAATGTGTTTTATTGTTTTTCGAAGTATTCTCCGTTCAACTTAATGCACTTTTCCGTTCGTGCAAACTAATCATTAAAACAGTAATTCCAGTCTGAAGTTGATGTTGACAAATTGGCTAATTTGTACGCTTCCACGGCCGCTTTGGGGTCTTCAAACCGTTGACCGCGTAGTAAATCTTTTATTCTAGGGAATGTAAAGAAATCGTTAGGGCTCAGGTCAGGACTGTACGGAGGATGGCTCATCAGCTCAACGTTTTCCTGCTTCAAAAAATCGTTTGTCTTCCGAGCCGCATGGGAGCTCGCATTATCGTGATGTAAGATGATGCGACGTTTCGGGTTATTTTTTCGGAGTTCATCATTCTGGAGTACCATTTCTGGCAAACAAACCGTGATATACCACTCTGCGGTAACCGTTCTGCGTTCCTGTAAAGGAATTGTAGCAACATGCCTCTTTTTTGAGACAAACGTAGCGACCATTTTCTTTGACACGCTGCGGGAGCGAACAACTTTCATTGGTTTGACCTCGTCTTCGAAGACCCAAACTGCTGACTGATGTTTTCTTTCAGGTTCGTATGGATAAATCTATGATTCGTCACCTGAGACGATATATAAACGGCATTTGACTTCCCTCCGTTGAAGCGTTGCAGAGTATTCCAGCACCAATCAACACGAGCCGCCTTTTGCTCTTCGGACAACTCATTATGTAATATCGACTGAATTGCAGTCATTCTGATACTGATAACAGCCCGAATCTACCCGTATGTCACATGACGGTCATCTAATATAATAGTTCGCACAGTTGCGATGTTTTCAGGCGTGACCGCTATTCTTGGTCGACCTGCAGAAGAAACTGTGCTGAGCGACACACGACCGTGTCGGAACTCCGCATACCAGCGGTATATTGTCGTTTGACTTGGTGCTTCAACATCATAAATCGAAACCAGCTCGCTGAGACATTTATCTTGAGATAAGCCGCGATGAAAATTGTGATAAATTATGGCACGGAAATGTTCACGCTTGAACTCCATTTCTGTTAATGACTTGTCAACTTTAAACCAACATAGTTTTTGTTTTTAAACATTTTTTTTTAATTGTTTGAATGTCATTAAGATTCTAAGAGGCCAGTATTCAAATTCTATAAAAGGTTTTATTGTAACTCAATCCGAAATATTCTATTCCCGATTTCAGTGTGCCCCTCTGTAATGTTAAACCACACAACCAAAAAAAAACCACTGCATAAGAATAATAATAGTTGAGTTAAAATATAAAGATGTGTTGATGCAATAGTAAAGTGGGCAGCATGAACATACCCCTTGCTGTATCGCATCGAGCATGTGCGTGCGCGCGGGCAGCAGGCCGTACTCGTGCGCCACGGTGTCGCGCAGGCGCTCGTGCAGCGCCTGGCGCAGCGCCGGCGCGTGCGCCGCGCCCCAGGCCGCCGCCGCCGCCTCGGCCGCGCACGCCAGCGCCAGCAGCGCCAGGCCGCCGCGCAGCGCCGCGCCGCCGCCCGCGCCGCCGCACGCGCCGCGCACGCAGCTCGCCGCGCCCGCCGTCAGCAGCGCGCCCCACGCGCCCACGCACCACAGCCCCGCGCGCCCCGCACCCGCGCCCGCGCCGCCGTAACCCTCCCACAGCGCCCACCCGCAGAACGCGCACGCACCCACGCCCACCACCTGACCGCGTATTGTTCATCACTTGCCACCGCTCCAAAATTACAATACCGTTACTGTTATATCCTATTAAAGGCCACTGCTGAACATAGGTCTTTCTCATAGATTGTCTCGTAAAGAAGATGTTTGCCACAGTAGCCACACTTGGCAAATGGGTTGGCAGTGTCAGTTTTTTATTTTTAATGATTATTGGGAAAGACACTGCTGCCCACCTTCTGATTTGTTTCCTGATATATAGACTCTTACAACACTGACAAGATGATATGACATATGGGATATTATTACACTGCCACTACACAGTAAAAAAGACAATGCAATATGCAATACCTTCATTTCAGGCATCAAAAACTTAAAAGTTACGTACATTAGCCCACTGCAATATATATATATATATATATATATATATATATATATATATATATATATATATATATATATATATATATATACAGGGTATTTTTGGAACGCTCCCGAAAACTAAGACAGGCGACAGCACCAACTATACCTTTGATCATGGGTCATAAATAAATTTGATCCTGATGAAAAAAAAAACATATTTTTACAACGTTTTATTAGCTTTATTCACGCGCCATCATGTTAGTACAGCTAAATGAAACGATAATTTCATAAAAAAAATCATGAAAAGACTGAAACATAAAACCAGCAGTGGAAACTGAATTGATATCACCTGACTAATGGAGGTTAATGTACGCGCGAACGGTGAAAAAAGAACGCTGGCCTTGAACTTGGGCACTGAGCGATTTATCACATATTGGCCAGTATTACTGTGCCTGCATGCTATTGGTTCCCGCGCTTTGTTCGCTCCAAAAATACAGTCGCATACACAGCTTACTTTGCGACTCGCGACGATGTTTTAAAAAGGAAGGAAAAAAAATTATTTATATCTATTGTTTTATGACTAAACTAGTGAACGAAAAGGTAAATATGATAGGAGAAGGTGAATGGGGAAAATTGTGCAGTAAAGTTAAAATTGTTGAGGAAGAATACCGAAAAAATTACCATGTGATCGATCTGATGACGGAAGCTCAAGCGAAGATGAAAGTGATGATGAAGTAGCATCCAGTAACACCAACACACCATCAACATCTGGCTTCCATGTGACCCAAGACGTCATAATGGACGGCTGTCACCCTTAGCTTAAGTTTTTTTTGTTACAAACTACTTTATATTTTACGATAGAAATAACAAACAATGCTCAAGTAAACATTATCTATTTTTAATTCCCACCTCTTCCAAAGTTCTAAGTAGCTAGTAAAACACCTATTATGATTCTACAATAAAACAATTAATTACTATAATATTATAAAACAATAGCCCAATACCATGTAGTACTTTAGAACGCGACTGTACCCACACTCACTCCGCTGTCGACCTGTATCTAGCTCGGTATGAAACAATGCTGCGGTCATAAGAAAAAAAGGCGCATCTAACAATTTTCGAATAAATTACCATTCGACTCATGATAAGAAGACGCATCTACTAAATTTTTTTAATATTCACTAATATCAATATTTTAGAAATTATCGTCAGAATTTTAGACGTAGCTGTTGATCACAGATGACATTTTATTAGTAGAAAAGACTTATACAAATTCAACATAAAAGAAAAGACTTATTTAACCAGTTGCTACGTCATCTTTAACAATATTTGCATCGATTACTTAAATTTAAATTATTCTTGTCTTATTATTTTATATCTTATTATTAAGAGCTCATATCTTATTATTAAGAGCTGGTGTTTCACATGTGGTCCCATATAAATTTGATCGAGGTCAGACCAATAGTTTTTGAGTTATCCTTAATTATTTATATTAAAGTCGGTTGTACAAATGTTTTAATTTTTAATTATTATCGTAGTAAGTCTTGTATGATATCCCCTTTAAAATCATTACTCAAGAGTTGCGGGTTGTTATTTTTTGTGTCTCACTACCAATGCTTTTCTAATATTTACTAAGAAAAAAGTAGTAAATTACTATTAGCGTCCTTTCAACTTCAAATGACCTTTCCAAAATATGTAAAAATGTTAAATGAATGGTAGTTTTGTTTTATTTATTAGGTTGGGAAGACCCAAATAGTTATATGCGTCTTTCCTTCGATGTTTTTGTGTTGCCAGGTGTACTTTTTTAATCTAAGATGAAAAGGAAAATTCGTTTTATTTAAATAAATAAACAAATTTAAAAAAAAATAAGTTCGTCCTTAAAATCTTCATGTCTCTACGTATATATTTCAATATAGATACCTTTTAATATACTTTAGACACGGGGTCTGAAAGAAAAATTCATCAATTTATTTTTTATTTCCATTTTACGTTTTTGTTAGTTACTTCCTTTTTTATTATGACGGCAGAATGCCTAACCCTGTCGCCTCACGCTTGTGACGCAGTAGGTTTCAGCCTTGACGGGGTTCGTTCGTTTTAGTTTTTGAGACAGTTCCGTGTTGATTTTGTACACGCGTGCGCGAGCGACAGTTCAATCGTTTTGTTTAATAAATTTACTTGTGATTACGTGTTGATATTAAAGTTTTTGTTACGTTTTTGGATTCTTTTTTGTTTTAATAATGCCTAACGCGTACGTTTAGTGGTCAACATGTTAGGTATCCGAACCTAGGTACACGAAGTATCGCTAAATAAATTGTTAAGACGTCGGGATGGTACAAGTGTGTCATACTGTGCAGTGCACAAAGTGTTGAAGCGTAACCAATGCGCCCATACAAATTGCACAAAGTGCAAGCTTTAGTTCCCGGCGATCACGACCGCCGACGAGTTTTCTGCCGTTGGTTATTATACCAGCAACAACGTGTGCCTGGTTCCATTGAGCACGTTATCTGGACGGATGAGTCGACATTTACCAGAAACGGCCTGTGGAACCGAAGAAATACACACGTGTATTCAGAGGTTAACCCGCACGCTGTTCGACAAACCGGGCACCAAACCCGATGGTCGGTTAACGTATGGGCAGGTTTATTTAAGGATCGCATACTGGGACCAGTGTTTCTGCCAGAGCGACTGAACGGACAGCGATACCTAAACTTTATAAATGAACAGTTGGTTGACATTTTAAACGACCTATCGTTGGCTGAATATCGCCGCACATAGTTCCAACATAATGGTGCCCCTCCACATTTCGTGAGGTTCGTCCGTGAGCGCCTCAATGAGCTATTTGATGATCGCTGGATCGGCAGACTAGGACCACACGCTTGCCCACCTCGCTCACCAAATCTGACTCCGTTAGACTTCTTTTTGTGGGGTATGTGAAAGAAAGGGTTTTTAATCGTGAATGTGATAGTGCTGAAGAAATGCGCCAACGGATCGTGGATGCTTTCGAGAAACTACGTACGGACTGTGTCGAAGACCACACGATGATGCCCCGCCTGCACCCAAATCTGCCTTGAAATGAATGGAGCACAATTTGAGCCGCATCTCATAAGACCACGGAGGATTTAGAGCAGTAAGCTGTTTCATAACTATTTTTTTTTTAAATAACTTAGTACTGGACTAATCTGAATAGGTACATAACTGAATACATGAGAATAATAAACATACCTACACGATGAATAAAAACGCATGACTCCAACCTTGGTTACATTTCATTTAAGTATTTCTTCATTAGCGGGGAATCGAACCAGTTATTTGGGTTATTTAACCTGTAAATTCGGATTAAAGTGGCTACGTGGAGATAAGCACAGTGGCAAAATAGTAGGTTAAGTAGATAAGTTAGGTATTTAGACACGTGTTGTAAATTATTATATTGTGGGATGGCCCGCTAGTTGCGGGCCGCGCGAATTTGTGTTCGCGCGTACATTGACCTTTATCTAGCTCAGGTCAGGTGATATCAATTCAGTCATTCCACTGCTGGTTTTATGTTTCAGTATTTTCATGATATTTTTTATGAAATTATCGTTTCATTTAGCTGTACTAACATGATGGCGCGTGAATAAAGCTAATAAAACCTTGTAAAAAGATGATTTTTTTTTCATCAGGATCGAATTTATTTGTGACCCATGATCAAAGGTATACTTGGTGTTGTCGCCTGTCTTAGTTTTCGGGAGCGTTCCAAAAACACCCTGTATATATATATATATATATATATATCTTAACCTAAAAATATAAATAAATAAAACATACACATATCTATATGCCTTGTTTACAATATAATCACTAACTATCAAATATTTGCCTTGCCATGACCATAAAGTGACAAAAGAGCATGATGTTATACTTGTAAAAGTAACTATAAAAGAGAAGAGAAAGATCTTATTTCTTTTCATGATAAATAACAGCATAACCATCTCGTTTCAACTTAGTAAAAATAACTAGACCAGCAACCCGAAGTCACATCAAAGGTTTGACATGTCTAGTACCGCTATGACATGATCCCTCTACAAAAGGAGTGACGAATGTCAGGTAGAACTAACTAAATTAGTGATCAATGGGTTACACCTAGTTGTAGCCAGCTAAAACTAGGTGCAGCCTATTGCAGTTGGTTAAACTTAGGTGTATCTTATATAATTTATAAAATAGATAAATGTCTGCAATTTTGGGGTGGCCCAAGAGCCACCACCCCAACCGCACCTTAACCTATTGTCACTGATATTACTTGATACATATATCTATGTTTTTACAAATTTAACAGTACACCTAAATTTAACCAACTACTGCTGGCCGCACCTAGTTCTAGCCAGCTAAAACTAGGTGTAACTGCACTTCAGCATTTAGCCATAAAACATACACATATTATTTAAAATAAATTTTTTTACTCATTTATATCTATTACCCTTCTACAAGAACTCAGAATGTTAGAAAACAAAGTAAAAAAATAAATAAGAAGATATTTTAATTAATTTGCAAAATTGTCACTCCATGACTATATATATAAAATATTATAATATTTTATAGACTAGGGGTGACAAACAAGCACACACTCCGATGGTAAGTGAAGCCCATAGACATCTAAATCTATCCTCCAAATTCAGCTCAGCACCCTATCGAACCTTGTGCCCTAGGCTTCAGCTTAGTTAGCCTATGGGTAAATCCGACCCTGGTTGTCAATCCTGAGGACTAAAATGGTATACCTCGTTACCAGTAAAAAGGATCTACTGTTCTCTACACTCACCATACGAAACACAGCAGCATTAAGCTGCTATTTTACACTGGTATTTTATGAGAGTTTGGTCCTACCCAGCTCAAGGCAACCCGTTCATGCTACAACCATAATATAGCTGCAAAGTGGCTCTACCACTTTTGAACAAACATTGGCAGAATTATAATATTACAAAAAATTATAAAATAAATAAGATTTCTCTATGCAGAAATATAACAACGAACATGGCCCATTCCTACTTTTTTTATTAATAAGGGTAACAAGCAAGCACACACTCCACCTGATGGTGTTTGCTGTGGCCCATAGAAATCTACATATCCATTTGTCAACTAAAAGATCTGCCAATATGGTACCTTTACAAATAAATTAAATTGAAGTCTGTTTATAATTTAAAAATAACAGCTTCTTATTAAATGCATAAGTATATACAGTACTTATAACAAAAACAATTTTTAAAATTTTTGTCTGTTTGTTTGTTTCAGTTAATCTCCAAAATGGCTAGATCCATTGATCCATGATGCTTCATTTCAGTAGAAGCTAGTCATTCATTTATTTGTAAATATAATATATTTATCAATAATAAAATACTACGGAAGGAACTTGTTTCCAACGGAGTGTTCCACGACACTCACACGTTTTTTATCAGGCTCTCAAAGGTGATAAAAAGTTCTAATATAATTTAAATGCTGATAAAGATAAATCAAAATATGAACTAGTATGATGCTGTTTTTACTTGTCAACAGAACATCTCTCATTCTGCTTCTAATTCTCTATACAATACAGTCATTAAATTTTAAAGTTAAATGAACCCAGTTTTTGCATAGGTGTCCTTTGAACACTATCACCTTAAGACTGCAATAATTTACCCTAGCTTACATAGGATTTGAAATCTACTTGGTGTAAACAAAGGCTTCCAACATCTAATAAAAATAGGATCAGACATCCAACTAATGGGAATGAATAAGCATGATTTTAATTCATAAATGCTTATACATAATAATAGCATCTCTTTTGGAAAAACTATTTCAAATTTTCTAAACATACATTTTAGTCAATCGCTTTATTGTAATACTATGGGACAAATTTTATTTCCCTTTTTAATAATATAAAAACTTGTAAAGCTTACCAGAAAAATAATGTTAAACAATATCAGCAAACATTTCATCAAGGCGTAGCAACGCGACATACCCATTGTTCTCAGTTTATGAGACGATTAATTAAACGGAAAATACGAAATGATATAATAGAAACTGATAAACATTTATGTACTAATAACTTAATTATTTTATTTCTATCAAACAACTATGAATAGATAAATATATTGCAACTATGTTTATTTTCGCTAATACCGCGATTCATAGATAAATAAATATGCCGCGATTCACAGACCACAAAACCACAAATTATAAAGTTGAATGTAGGCTTGGGCAAAAATTATGGAAATATCGATGTTTTATTAAAAATATCGATATATATCATCCAGATTTTAAATCGCGGTATATCGATATATTGATATTTATTTATTTAATAATATCGAATTGGTTTTTCAGCCTAGAAAATTGAGATTCGATTTTTTCTTTTTTGATAAAAACCATAAAATTATTGACAGTTATTTGAATGTATCCAAACACGTCAAAAATATCAGTTTTTCGATTAATAATTTAAAAACGCATAAGATGGTTGTGTGCTTAATTTCTTTCGCCACTCCATTATGGGTTGAAGAAATAAAAAAATAAGTTACGTTTGTAATCTATACTTTGTTGTATTTGTTGATATTGAGAATAAAAACTTCGAGTTTTTCAAGCAGATAGAAAAAAGATCGTTTTTTTTTTGAGAAATCGATCTTTTATACTTCGATTTTTTTATCGGTTTATGATTAAAATTATTTATTAAAATATAATGCACTTAGCGCGGATATATGGTTTCGTGAAATTAACGTATGCGTTATTAAATTATTAATTTATTAGTGAAATTGTTGAAGAAATTAATGTAATACAACTAATTTTATTCCACTAATTTCGTAATTTAAATCCCGCTCTAATACCAAACTCTACCTTAACTTTATAAATCACTACGTTCTCAAAACAATAACTAACTAAAGCATTGAAGCAAGGCTAAAATAAAAAGTGTGTCACTACGTTTAATTCCGTTCTATCTTATGGCATTAAAAAGGTAACGTCAGATGACGTCAGAGTGAGATATATGATTGTTTGTTTTTTTTTTGGCATGCCGATATGATTAAATAATTATTTATTTCAATAGAGAATTAAGCGATTATTGGGCTATGGAACTTAATCATATATTTACTCGACCATATATGTTACGGCATACAGTTGCCCCTGCAAAGGTCGTCTTGGCTGGGGCCCATAGCAGCTTCATCGACGGGCAGACACAGGTCGGGCCCAATGGCCATATGGAAGAATTCCTATAATATTAAGCTATATGGGAGAAGGCTAGGGAAATATAGTACGTACCTGTTTCCGACTCTTAGACCGCCCCAAGGCTCGATCAGGTCGTAAGTGTATGTGAGGTGCATGGCAAGTAGTGTTTAGTGATGTGTAAATGTCTGAGACCTGGACCAGCTTAGGCGACCAGCAGCGGCCGAGTTCCAGGCTGCCCCACAATGTTGCATCGCTCCAGCAGGCTCCACCGCTGGACCATTTCTTTCTTCATTGTCACTATTTCAGTCTATTAGCTTCATTGTACATTTAACTAACTTAAACTCGCCTAATTCCACATTCATCGTAGAATCTAACACGTGATACCCGACACAGTAAGGACAGTAGTTCAAAATTCGACGTTCAATGTCCCGGATTCACTTATCACAAAATTATAAAAATTATAAATAGGGAACTAACGCGATCTCTCAATGAGTCATACGGTTCAGCGTTAAACACAACTAAGTTCCTTCATTCGACACCAAAACACCACGTTGCGAAAAGAATTCAAAATACGCCTGGTTGACACGTAAACTAACAAACCAACCAACACACAGAAAAGGGCACTTAACGCGACGGCACAATTATAATGATTTCCAGACAATCAACCGAGAGACGCTCTCGACCAAGGAATGCGCGGTTCGAATCCTAGACCGTATATCTACACGACGCGCGCGTGCACAATTCCACATCACCCGAACAAGTAAAATATTGCAAAATTCACATATCCACGTAGCGAAGTAACACGCACTAAAAAAACTATGTGGACCCTACATGGTCGCGTGAACTTCGGTCGCGATAATCGAGATACGCGGATTCACCGCATCGCGGCCAGTGAACTACTCTTCTTCGCCCACGCGTCGAGCCACTGCAAGCCGCACACGGCCGCCCTACCTGGCGGTGTTTTTTTCACCTACATACCATCGGGTGACGCGCCAGCTCGAACGCTATTGGATGGCGTTCAAAAATGACCAAATTTGGGCATAAACAATATCTAAGAAATACTTTTTGACAGCTGTCACATTTATTGTACTAAGCACTCTAACTGAAAAATTGGTACCTACAATATTCGGTTCTTGAGAGAAATTGATATCGATTATTTTGAGTTGGTAATCATTTAGTTTTATATAAATTAATTCCAGAATAAAAAAAAATTATCAGTTTCTTCATACTTATTGCATACAGCTTATTTCTAGAGATAGTTATAAGAATTAAAGTATGCACTAGATTAAAAAATTTAATCAATTTCACACTACATCTAGTTGAGCTGTCGTCGTCATCATCGTTGTTTTATTAATTATTACTCGATTTTCTATAATTCAATTTACTCTTTTATCTTACTTCATTTTATATATGTGGTAGAGCCATGCTGCAGCTATATTTCTGGTATAGTTGTAACAACAATGGGTCGGTTCGATTGGGGAAGAACTATGCTCTCACAGAATACCAGCGTAACTATAAAATAGCAGCTTAATGCTGCTGTGTTTCGTATGGTGGGTGTAGAGAACCGGAGACCCTTTTTACTGGAAACTTAGGCATTCCATCTTAGTCCTGACGGGTGATAACGCATCTGCATTTTGATTCGTAATCGAGGATAAATGTAAATGTCTACGGGCCACAGCAAGCAATTACCATCAGGTGGACTGTGTGCTCGTTTGTCACCCTTATCCTATATAAGAAAAATTCTACGGTAAGGTACATTACGACAATGCTTTGAAACAATTTCAAGCGAAACAAAAAGTTGATTAAGGTTGATTTTTTAATAAAATGTTGCTTTGTTTGAAAGATTCGAATTTATATTAGTGATAAAGAACTAAACATGTTGTAATTGAATTTCATTATTATTTGGATTTATTTTTTTATTTTAAATCGTGTGAGTACGTTTGTGCAAAGTTATTACGGAATGATTAAGGTAAGATGTCAAAAGGCATTTCTTAGATCTGGTGGAGTATAGTGACGTAAATACTGTTGTCATACCTTTATTTTGCCGATTACCTAGAGGAAATTGCACTCCAAAGAGTAAATAGGCAATTTCATCTTTGCTCTGATTATTTTAATCTGAATTTATTTGTATGTAGGGAAATATGAAGTAGAGACGAATTAAAGAAGATGTTGTTCAACATGTTCAGCAATACATCACATGCCTTAAAAAATTACAAAATATCTAGAAGCTTATTTCCAACATGCCGACTTGTGCTGACCTGTCACTCAAAATCGGTCACAGAGTCATGAAATTTGTTATCATTTTTTATCTTGCATTTTTGACATAAGAAATTTTCTTTTCCTTTGTACACTATGTTGGTCTATACGCCAGCATATTCTAAGACTATGAGACATCTACATCTATCTTCGTTTGCGAATTAAAATGCATGTGCATTGTCATCCGTGAGGACTAAGATAGAATGCCTCTCTTCCAATAAAAACGGTCTCTGTTTTTCAACACTCACCATACAAAACACAGCGGTATTAAACTGCGATTTTACGCTTGTTTTCCCGTGAGAGCGTGGTCCTTCCCCGGTCGAGCCGACCCATTCATGCTGCAACTATACTACTAATATAGCTGCAACATGGCTCTACCATATACATAAAAAAAGAAGATATCTCCTGCATATCTTACCAAGTTGTCAGAAGAACATACAAAAGAAGACTTAAGAAATGAGTAACTAATTATTAAAGTCTTATTTGAGCAGATAATGAAATATTTTTATCCGTAAATAGAACTTATAGTCCATGATTTTTATCTGTATAAGCTGTGGGAGAACACAGATAATAAATAACCGAAAGCGAACACCGAACACAAGCCGAACATAATGGCGCTTTCGCTTTGACAGCGAACATGGAATGTCTCCAAAACAAAAATAAATGGCCACCGTTATTGTTACGTTCTTCCTAATCATAAGATTTTATGTTTGTAACATGGACGCCGACTGCTTGCAGAGGCGGAGGTAATTTCCTCTTGCTATGTTTGATAAACTGTGACTTTTAACTGCACCTGATTTTCGCAATACAAATAAACAAGTTAAAATATTATTACTGACACAAAGTTTCGCGCCACTGGTACAACTTATACCATTAGCGGTTGTTTATGCTGCTGCGCTTTTCAGTGATGCTACCTGCTGCGCTTTTCAGTGATGTTACCAATGGAAACGTGTTTTTTTCAGAGAGGAAGGCTCATCTCAACGAGAGAAAAGGTGGAGCATGAACTCTCAAAGATTGGAAGAAATTGTAGCGGAGCTGATGAAACCCATCAGCGATGTCCGCCGCAGTTTCGACACGGATCTCTGTGCGGTGAGCATTATTGTGTTAAACTCTTGATGTAAGTATAAAATAGTTTTCAGGATCTAGCAATTTGTAACAATTAAATCGTCTAAGTTTGAGTGATAACAAGATTTTCCTCAATTCTATAAAAAGTAACATTATACATATCTTGTCAAAGCACTTCATTATTTTTAAATGTTACCACCCTAATTTAGGCTTACAATTATTTGTTTATGTGAGAAATTAAGTATATAAAAAATAATCAAAAAAAAATGTTTGTTCTGTAACAATAAATTTACATCAATAGCGGTACATAGATTTCTCTTTTTAAGTATTTTTCAATATTTGTGACAGGAATTAATCATAAACTAAACCATAAAATTATTAAACATATAAATATGGATGAAATAAATCATAACGAGTATGTATGCATAAATATATGGATGTTATGAAAGCAACACGGTGTATCTGAAGAAGCACTGCCTACTCCTCTGTATGGCAGGTGTGATAGTTTATGTATGTATGTAAATGTGAATATGTAGACTGACAATCCTGTAGATTCTGTTTGTAATCAATTATTTATTCTTGATTTCTATTTCTCACAGTATCACACATTATATTACACATATTTTATAAAAACATGAATGGTGCCAAGTTTGCTTGCATAATAGTAACATTTAACATTTTGTACATGGTAGAGCTATGCTGCAGCTACAGCAGCTATATTATTAGTATAGTTGTAGCACAAATGGGTCGGCTCGACCGGGGAAGGACCACGCTCTCACAGAATACCAGCTGAAAATAGCAGCTTAACACTGCTGTGTTTTGTATGGTGAGTGTAGAGAACCGGAGACCCTTTTTACTGGAAAAGAGGTATTTCATCTTAGTCCTCACTCCATTCCTCAGTCCATTTGCATTTTGATTTGCAAAGGAGGATAAATGTAGATGTCTATGGGCCACAGCAATCACTTACCATCAGGTTGAATGTGTGCTTGTTTATCACCCTATCCTATAAAAAAAAAACATAACCAGTAACAGACTTAAAAAGCCTTTTTAAGCATATTACTGGTCAGGCTTTTTCAAGAATGTACCAACTGTCATATATTTAGTTAATAGAATCAGCTGGTACTTTGTGGAAATCCATTATAATAAAGGTGGCTGACTGCTAAGCGATCGTAGAGTCTACTTCACCTGAGGATACATTGTGTAGATGTGAAATATGTGTCATATTATCAATGGTAGTGTGTCTTTCCTAGTGTCGTGTTGTAATTGGATTAGTGGTGACGGGGATAGTGCATGCAATTGAGGGTGGGAGGTGCCCTTCATAGCTTTCTAGCTCTTATACTACTCTTTTCACCATCTATAATTTGTCATATATTTGTTAGAAGATTTGACCATTCTCATCTCGTCAGGATTGTTAGGTTTGTGAATAGAGAGTAGAGGTATTACCACTCATCACTTAAATTCAATTTATTCTCAACATTTTTCAGGTAATATATTAAAGCAACAGATTGCACCACATGTTAGTGAGGTTTACATTTAGCTTCAACATTTCAATTATGAAACTTGCAGCAACTTACATATAAATAATACAACACTTACAACTTTGCCAGTAGACTTGGTTAAATAATGACCATAATGGGCAGTGTAATATTTAGGTGGGATTTTGGCATAGTTGCTATACTGGCACCTGAAGTTTTTGAAGTGAAAAATTTCTTTAGAATCTTGATTTGAAACTCAATGAAACGAAAAAGTGATACTAAAAAGAGACAAACATATACATCTGTAGGATTTAGCCTGTGACAGAATGAGATCAGAGGCAGATTAAATATTGACAGTACCCTAGGCTAGCACCTCATCGGCGCCCCTCTAGCGGCTATATATATATTTATTTATTTATTTATTTATAAGGGTCACCGACAGATGATACACAGATACTTAAAACAAGATCCAAGCATTGAGAGAAACATGAAATGTGCTCACCCAGTTATAGGCAACCACAGCTTACACAGAGTAATGTTGCGAAAAGTTAATTATCATAAAATTTAATATTACAGTAGCAAAATTGCGTATTTATGATAAATTAAAAAGGGTTTACATTCATCATTAAGATTCTAAATAAAGTAACATTTTTCTTCTGAAAATATTTAAATTGTCATTGAAAATATCTAAATCAGAAGGCCTAGATATATCATTATACAGTCTAAACATTCTGCATAATGCTGAATTAAGACCGAGGTTAGTCCTATGAGGTGGGACCATAAACAGCTTGTAGACATTCAATCGTGGTAATCTGCTTGGAGCATTAATGTTAACCATTTCCAGTAATTGAGAACAGTCGATGCCATTATTGCACAGTTTATAGAGGAAGCTCAAATCCAAAAGTTTCCGCCTGTTATATAAGGAAGATAAACGGAAATGTTTTAGCCGTTCATCATATGAAGTTAAGGAGCGATGTCGGTTAAATTTCAATGCTAGCATACTAAGAAACCTCCGCTGTACTCGTTCAATTCCACTCTTATGAACCTCATAGTAAGGTGACCAAACTTGAGAACAATATTCAAGGTTGCTTCGAACTAAGCTGTGAAAGAGTAGTAGTAAAGTTTGAGTATGTCTGAACTGTCTGGTGTTTCTACATAAAAATCCGAACATTTTGGACGCCTTCGTTATAATACTGTTTATATGTGGTACGAAAGACAGTTTACTATCCAACAATACGCCCAGGTCTCGTATACACTCTACTTGATTGATTACTGTGTTGCCAATTTTGTATGTAGTTTGGATAGGAGTATGTTTGCGAGTGAACGACATATGATGACACTTTTTAGCATTCAGAAGCATACTGTTTTGAGTACACCACTCGATCAATCTATCAAGATCGGCTTGAATAAGCTGGGAGTCTGCTGACGATCTAACAGGTCTAACGAATTTCAAATCGTCAGCAAACAGGTAAACCTCTGTGTTCAAAAAACATTCTGTCACTGAGTTGATCAAAATTAGAAACAAAAGGGGCCCTAGATGTGACCCTTGAGGAACACCCGAGGTTACCTTAAACGGTTCAGACTGTTTCCCATTAACAACTACATAACACTCGCGAAGAGTTAAGTAAGATCTAAACCAAACCAAAATAGGGCCGCCAATACCACAACTACTTAATTTCGTCAAAAGTATCTCATGATCAACTTTATCAAATGCCTTGCTAAAATCAGTATAGATAGCATCGACCTGAGAACCCTGATCAACATGCTGGATAATATAATTGGTGAAGGCAATTAAATTAGTAGTGGTGGACCTATTTCTAAGGAAACCATGTTGATGATCAGTAATTTGAAATTTTAGTAAATTATAAACATAAGGGTAGATTAAAATTTCAAAAACTTTAGGAAAAATAGATAAAATGGATATTGGTCTGTAATTTCTGATGTTATTCTTAGTACCATCTTTGTAAATGGGAACAATTTTAGCCATTTTCCAGTAGGTAGGAAATATTCCAGTTTTAAGAGATTCGTTGAAGATACAAGTAAGTGGCAATGATAGTTGCTTTGCACATTGATATATAAACAACGGCGGTAATCCATCTGGGCCAGGACCTTTATATAAGTCAAGTCTCTTTAACCTCCTGAGAATTAAATTATCCGACAGCATAATAGAACTAAGCGAGAATGGAAATGAATGGATACCATCGCGTTTTTGGTAACAAACTTGTGGATTTAGACTTTTACTATAAATAGATGAAAAATTTTTCGCAAACAGTTCACTTATGCTTGTTCCATCCACTCCAGTTTCATGGTCTAATTGCATACGGGATGGTATATTGCTACTATTTTTACGCTTATGCTTTATAAATGTCCAAAAATATTTAGGATTTGAGGTTATACTATGTTCAAGGCGTTTGTAATAATTATTATAGCACTGTTTCATTAAATTTTTTGTTCTTTGTTTTAGCAAGTCTAGGGCGATTTTATCCATCGGATTTTTATATTTCTTAACCCTTTGTCTAATTTTCTTTTTTTCTTTATTACTCCTTATAAGACCTTTTGAAAACCAAATTGGATACTTAATGTTTTTAGGTGTGGTTAGTGGAACATGTTTACTTATAGTAGCACGCAATACATCATAAAAACGAGTAACCATTTCATCAACATTCCCACATAATGCAAATATATTGAGCCAATCAACACTATCCAATTCATTTTTAATCAATTCATAGTTAGCTTTGTGGAAATTCGGTCTAGGTTGTAGGGATGGGTGTAAATGATTGATGGAGTGGAAAGTAATTTCAAATAAAAGAGGTGGATGAAAAAGATCAATAGCGGTTAATGCTTCGTCGGCTTCACCAACGCATACGTTACTTTCTGATGAGAATATTAAATCAAGCATTTTCGAGTTTTTGTTTTTAATGTAATTGAACTGCTTAAGATTATTCAGGGCCATAAACTCAGAGATCATATAAAAGTATTGGCATTGAGAGTCATTTAAAATAGTAAATAGGTCATTATCATTTTTCAGCCACTCCAAATTAGGAAGGTTAAAATCACCAATTACTAATGAGTGATCAAAATCGGAAAGATTATTATTAATATTATCTACAAACTGTTCATAGTTCCTTGAATTAACGGAAGGTGGTATATAGACCGCACATATGCATAGTTTTATAAAGTTTTTACCATTTCTGAGATGAACTACAATCCAAAGATCTTCTATTAGTCCAGTGCCTTCATTTCTATTAATCCTATGTGAGTCAAAATTTCTATTGACGGCAATCATTACACCACCTCCAGTCTTTTTTGAAAATGATTTAGTCAAGTCTCTGTCTCGTCTATATACAGCATAATTATCGTTAAATAACTCTAAATCGTTAACGTTATTTTGTAGCCAGGTTTCCGTTATTACAACAATATCGTAGTCATTCATACACATGTTACTATAAAATTCATGAATTTTTGTATTTAGGCCTCTACTGTTTTGGTAATAACAATTTAAGGCAGCAGATTTTGTGCAGGTATACATAAAAAGCAAGACATGAGTAAATGAGAAGAAATCTAATCGGTTAAGTATTGTAACGAGGATAAATTCTTAATAACAACAACAGGAGCTGATTCCGACTTTCTCACAAAAATGCGGCCACCTCTTACCCAAACGAACTTGTAGTTCTTTTCTTTGGCCTTAAGTCTGGTAGCCCGATGCAGATCTTTGTTACTTGGAGAGAGATGCTCAGTTACAAATACAGGTTTCTTGTCACCTCCAATACCCAAGTGGCTAGAATTAAGTTTGTCCGATTGGTGGTTCTTGTTGAATTTTATGACTGAAGCTAAAAATCCATCACGAATCAGAGGGCTGCGTAACTTGACAATAATTGATCTAGGTCTGGTGGTGGCAGGATTAGCCTTAGCAATTCTAGTGCACATGTGAATATCTTCTTCTTTAAGGTCGAAGGAGACCGTTTTTGCAAGTTGCTTAGTCAGTACCATCAGATTTTCTGATTTATGTTCAGGTACACATTGGAATTCTAAGTTCGAGGCACGAGAGTGCTGTTCTATTTGTGCCACACGATCAGATAGTTCCCTATTAGCGATGGTCAAGTCCATACATTCCTTCTGCAACCGATGACATAATTCTGTCTTTTTGTTCAAATCAACCTTGATTTCATCATATTGTGAGTTTATAAAATCCATAGAAGTTTTAAGCGAAAGCAAATCACTTCTTAAGCATGCAATATCAGAAACAGTTTCCCGAAGTTCAGACGTAATCGTTTTCTCAATCAAGATGGTCAACTCCTTCGTTAAAATATTTTTTAGTTCTGACTGTATGATATCCCTAATCTCATCGACAGTGGGGTAGAGAGAAGGGGCTTCATGTTCACTAGCGACTGGAGAAGTACCGACCCTGTTGCCTCTTGATCGCTGCGATACCCAATTAGGTGATGGTTGAGTGCTCTTGAGATTATGCCTTATTGGTGTCTCCGTATTGTCGCCCTTGGGTCTCTTGCTGATACAGCTTGGACAAGTCCAAACTGGAGAGGGCTCACTAGAAGATTTCCTGGGTGGTAAATTAGCACAAAGCTCATGACATGTTTGTTTGCAGTAAGCACATTTGCAGTAATTATCGCTTTTTATATCAAGCTTGCAGCCCAAGCAGATTTTCGGCATATTAATATATTTATACAGTATATAAATACAAAAAAACCAACCTGTTGATAGCTCGATTCGGCGAGTCAGTAACGCAATAAGTGCAGCGGTGGCTCGTAGAAGTATCGTAGCAAAGTGGGCGGGACTATCCGTGCCGTACTTTGGAAGCTCGTAGCACTATAAAATCGTAGACAACCAGCTCGGCAAAAATCGCGCACAATCGGGAAGTATCGGCTTTTTGCGTACACGCAACAGCTACGACGGGCATGAGTTGATCGTTTATGTGAGGTAGGTCAAGGTTGCGAACAGTAACTAAATATTTTTAAAATGTTTTGCTTCACTGTATCAGACCGCGTAAATAAATTTAAAAACGACTTTCACTATGTTAACAGTCGATTCACTGGCTTTAAAATGGCCCTAAATTTGAAAGTAATGATGAACTTTTGTTAGCAATTGCAAAATAAAAATGAAGAGAGATGACTAAACGGTGTTATCGCAACGTTATGTGATGTATATATATATATATATATATATATATATATATATATATATATATATATATATATATATATATATATATTATTCTAAGACAGCGCTTAACTACAATCCCACCTGATGGTAAGTGGTGATGTAGCCTAAGATGGTGAAGCGTACTGACTTAACAAAAGCCTATTCACTCTTGCCTTGAAGACACCAACATTATACTCGGATTGGAAACATAGATGCTGGCAACTTATTCCACTCCTTTGCTGCACCCATGATGAACGATGTAGCAAACTGTTTGGTTCGAATCTGTGGTAAGTCAACAACGAAGGGGTGGAGACTGGCCGAACGTCCGGTTGTCCGATGGTGGAAGGGAGAGGGAGGAAAAATTAAATTATGCAATTCCTGCACACACTGAAATGCATCCTGTAAAAAACTGAAGGGCTGGCTACTTTGTGCCTGTGTTCGAGGCTGGTAAGATTGGTTTTAACTGAATTCGGGTCACCAATAAACCTCTTACCACGTCTTCCCATTGATTCCAAAGCTAATAGGTGGCATTTTGGAGTACCAGCCCATGGATGGCAGCAATACTCCATGCACAACCGGACCTGCGCTTTATATAAAGTAAGCAGCTGTCCTGGCGTGAAGTATCACCGCACCATGAAAAAAACTACATAATTTCTGCTTCTTAAATAGTTACGAATTTAATATTATGTGTTTATTTAATTTGAAGTATGGTTACCCGCTCCCGTTTTATGTTTTAAAGGATTTAATAAGATTAAATAAAAATAGAAATGAATAAAAATTCTGTTATTCTATCAGTAGCGACAATTTATTTATAAATAAAGCAATGTTGCTTTCATTAATCCTTTTGCTGTCCCGTGCACTACATATAGGTCATTGCTATTGTCTTACTATTGTGTCTGTAAACCGGACAGTGAAAGTGTTAACATAACTTCTTTCTTTAATGTAGCGCCTAACTTCAACATGATTTTTAAACTTTTTATTTATTTGTATGGATCTCTAACAGTTGTACATATTAAATGATTCTAACACATGGCTTACATCTACACATTACTATGTACCTCCAATTATAGGAGAACACATCATTCTAGAACAATAGCAGTGTTTATAATTTGCCTATTTTAATGGTAGTTGGAACAAAATAAGTTTAACAAACAAAAGATAGCTAATAGTTTTTTTTTAATATAAATAAAAGTTAAGTTTAGCATAAAGTTAGTTAGACTACTTAATTTTCTAAGCTGTTGATACATTTTGTGTGAACAAATATCTACTGTTGCTATGTTTTTTACACATACATTGTATACACGTGATATATATATATATATATATATATATATATATATATATATATATATAATATATATATGTGTTATTGGAGAATTCTGTCCAAGTTTTGTTCGAGTGCTATCAGTCTTAAAGAAAGGACATGGGTTGCGAGGAGGTCTCCGAGATACTTTAATATTAAATCTACTCTTTTTTCTTTTTCTTTCTTTTTTTTATTCTTTTTTTCTTTCTCAACACAACAACAAGTTTGTGAAGAAATTTTAAATCTAGAAGAGATCTACGAACTGCCAGTGGTTTCATCCTAAAGTAAACGTAACGCAACATAGTGGTTTGAAGCTAACTAGCAGAGAACGTCGAATATGCGCGATATTGCTTTGTCCTCTATTAAAGATTTCAAATTAGAGGAGAAGATCTATTTTGGGTTTGAAATAGAGGTGTTCTTTAAAATAAATTATGTCTGGCAAACCTTATAACTAATATATTGAAAGTAGTGGTGATACATTAAATGGTGAATGTGCAGTTACTGGAGGAGTACCTGACGGAGGCGGGGCTGCGGGCGCTGGAGGCCAGCGAGCAGGAGGAGGGGGAGGGGGAGGCGGCGGGGGCGGGGGGCGAGGCGCCCAACTTCGCGGAGCTGGCGCTGCTGCTGCAGCACTCGGCCTGCGTGTACGGCCGCAAGGTGGACTACCTCTACCAACACGTACTCAGCGTGAGCGAGTCGCTGCACAACAACACGTGAGCCCCCATACTTACTTTCTGCTTAATTATACAAAATACTTCATCGTTTTGCCGATAATTCTCTGCTAATGTCAAGGTGAAAAGTACAAGAAAAAGTTAATGTAACAACTACAAATTTGAAACTTGGATAAAGGCTTATATCAGTTGTTTCAACTGCTGGCCTGCTAAATAATAATAATAATAATAATAGCGCCAGGCTCTACTGGGACTAGGCCATCATCACAGGCAGGACTATTGCGAATAAGCCTGATATTGTGCTGACGAACTGGGCGCAGTCGCAGGATACCTATTTTTGGTCGACATTATCATTCTGTATGACGATAACGTCGTGAAAGCCGAAACAGATATAACGCACAAAATATCTGGATCTGGCTGACTAGGAGACCAACATGTGGGGTAGTCTTGTGACCGAAATTGTTCCTGAGCCAGGTCTGCAAACGGGTTACCGTGGGACTCCGTGATACCGCCCGCATCGTCCGCCGGTTTCTTTCCCTTTGCCCTATAACCTTCGACCGTTTGGTCTCCCCTGCCGGTTTTATATGGTATATATTTATATACTATATTTATAAATCAAAATATCCCTAAATAATTTTAATATATTATTATTGAAAGTTAAGAATTAAAACAAATTAAATGTTACCTTAGAGAAATTACATGTTAAAATATTAAAATGTTTTTTACAATTAAATATATTAACATGTATTTTTGTAATTACATGTTTACATGTTATCCCCTTTGTCGTATCTCTTCAGTTTCAAGGCACTCCGCTTGTTGCCTCAGCCAGTATCGGAATCCTCGGCGTCGACATATCGAGTAACGTGCAGTTTCGTGGTCACTTGGAAGAGAAGGCCAAATTGGCCTCTAAAAAGCTTGACGTGTTCATCAAAGCGGGACAGTATTTCATGTAGGCACACCGCCTGCAACTTTACAAGGCGCAGGTTCGGCCTCACATGGAATACTGTTCCCATCTCTGGGATGGGGCTCCCCAGTGCCAGCTCCTTCCACTTGACCGCATCCAGCGCAGAGCGACTCGAATCGTCGACGACCGATTCGTCGTCGTCCTTTCTAATCGGCTCGATTCACGGGCGCTGCGAAGAGATGTTGCATCTATTTGCATTTTCTTTCGCATTTTCCACGGGGAGTGCTCTAAGGAATTGTTCGGATTAATCTCAACCGCTAAATTTCACGAACACACATCGCGGCGAAACTCTATACCATCCATACCATCTGGATGCTTGGCGGTCCACCATTGTACGTTTCACAAGGAGTTTTCTTCCTCGTACGATCTCTCTTTGGAATAGTTTACCATCGGTGATTTTTCCGATACGACTTAGGGAGCTCCAAGAAAAGAGCTTACTACTTTCTAAAAGGCCGGCAACGCACCTGCAATTCCCCTGGTGTTGCAGTTGTTCATGGGCGGCGGTAGTCACTTACCATCAGGTGAGCCGTATGCTCGTTTGCCCGAAAAAAAAATCTTGTCTGTAAAAAAATCTTGCTATAACTTACTAAATGACGATACAGATTCCAGAAGAGATATTATGTACTAGCTCAGGGTTTCCCTACCTTGTTTTGACCAGGGATCACTTTTAACTCAATTATATAATAAACATACATAATAAATAAACTGAAAAGAAGCATTCATTAATAGTATTATTGGTGTATTTATTGTAAAAGCTACGCACAGTATTGCATTGCCCGCGTGACGAGAAAATAATACATGTGTTATTTAAAACTAATAGGTAGGTTAAATAGTTAAATCTTTGGCGGACCATATTTAAGCTCTTGTGCACCACTGGTGATCCGCGGACCACTGGTTGGGAATCACTGTACTAGATTTACCTGTGATTTCGTCTGCCCAGGACTTGAACACAAAAACACCTAAAGTAAAGTAAAGTTGTAACTGTAAGGCTGTAGCCTATATACGTCCCACTGCTGGGCACATGCCTCCTATCACTTCTGAGAGGGTTTTAAGGCAAGGAAATTTCACCACGCTGCATCAAAACGTGTTGGCGGATTTCACGTCTTCGACATGTTTTTTTTGATTGCAGGTTTCCTCATGATATTTTCCTTCACCGGCGAGTACGTGGTAAATCAGCACTTAAAATTGCAATTAACAATTTCATTGGTGCCAGCGGGGATCGAACCCGGGTTGCTCGCGTACTGTGAAATTAAATGTAAAAAAAAACACATGCAGATCTATAATAGTTGACCAGTAGTGGGACCAGTATTAATAAATTAATCAATGGCTGTCAATGTTCAGTCAACAAATGACTCGTTAAGTACTATGTACGTACTGTAGGTGGTAGTACACACTAGGTGGTATGACTCCTTTGCTGTATACAAGTCTGTCTGCGTTACCGTACCCTGTTACCCATTTCTGCCGCCAAACAGTGCGGATTGTGTTCCGGTATCCAGTCTGAGGGATATATATTATATATATATATATATATATATATATATATATATATATATATATATATATATATACTGACGTGGTAGAGCCATGCTGCAGGTATATTAATTGTTTAGTTGTAGCACGAATGGGTCAACTCGACCGTGGAATACCACGCTCTCACAGATTACCAGCGTAAAATAGCAGCTTAACACTGCTGTGTTTCGTATGGTGAGTGTAGAGAACCATTTTCTTTTCATTTTTACTGAAAAAGAGGCAATCCATCTTAGTCCTAAAGGCTGATAACGCATCTGCATGTTTATTCGTAAACGAGGCTAGATATAGATGTCTATGGGCCACAGCAACCACTTACCATCAGGTGGACTGTGTGCTCGTTGTCACCCTTATCCTACAAAAAGAAATTGACTGCAGTAGCTACTTACCATCAAGTGGACTGTATGTTTGTTTGTCACATCAGTTTTATAACAAAAAGTTCCACTACTGACACTAGAACTGATGACTGATAACTTGACTAAATGAGGTAAATGAGGTTACAAACAATGTCATACCAATCCTTACGAATGCGCATTATTTATAATAATTAAATTGGTTACAAACAATTAAATACTACTTTTACACATTAATTGCAAACTGGGAAGTGACAAACGCCAACTGGAATAATTTAGATGACAAATAATTAATTACTGCCATTGAAAAAAGCACATTGTTTATCACAACATAATGATTACTTATATTTACACAAATGCTACGTATTGAATAAAACTAATTGTACGGATTTTATTGCATTTTAACTTTTAATATCCGACGTTTCTGGCACTTTACATGCTTTAGTAGCAGGCAGCCCGGAGTCAGGAAGTTGGCGGTGTCCCACCCCCGTGCCTCGATAAGCGCGTACAGCGTTACCGTTACTCCTGCGTTTGATGTCACTCCAGTCGTGTGAGAGAGTGCACCTGTGCTTGCGCACACACGTGCGCTATAATCCTGTCCTGCGCAGACCAGTCTCCGATGAGTTTGGCCGCTGTGACCGAAATTCGGTCTGGAGGACATTATTATTATTACACTAGCTGTTCTCCGCGACTTCGCCCGCGTTCAATTAAGGGTTTTAATTCTTTGCGCGGTACCCTAATTCTTTTTCTAAAATAAAAGTAGCCTAAGTTACTCTTTATAATATCAGCTATCTGCCAGTGAAAACCCTCAAAATCGGTCCAGCCACTTCGGAGATTAGCCGGAACAAACAGACAAACAGACGGACAGACAAAAACTATAAAAATTGTATTTTTGTTACCGTTGTGTACCGTATATTACCGTATATTACCGTTACTAAATACGTACTTTCATATGTATTTAGTAAAACGCTGTAATTTTGACATTACAAACAGACACTTCAATTTTATTTATTTGTATAGATATGCCGTGCTTATTGGCATTCTTTCCTGAAGGCCTATGTTCAGCAGTGGACTTGCGAACAGCTCTTCACAAATGATGGTGATGGTGATATGCCTTAATAAAACTGCTATACCGGCAACGAGCTATAACTTCAAAGTGCGAGACATCTAGTACTACATTCGCTAACCAGCTTATCAAGCTTGGTGATTACGGTAAAGCTACCTTACATTAGAAGACACTCATATCCGGTGATGGATTGTGATTTAAAAAAAAAAGTGGTTTTTTTTTGAGAAATTTGTCCGCACCAGCACTCGAACCCAGATCCCGTTGCTCGTTATATTAGTACTGTTATCACTTATTTTAACTTCATCCTTCATCCCGTTCATCCTATACAGCCTATTAAAGTCCACTGTTGAACATAAGCCTCCCCCATAGATTTTGTCATAGGGGGGATTTCACCATACTTGAGACACGCCTGGCGAGCGTGTTATCAGCCGCAGTTTTTTTATTATTTTTACTAGCTGTTCCCCGCGACTTCGTCCGCGTGTAATTTAGTGTTTTAATTATGTTGCACGGGTCCTAATTATTTTTCTAAAATATAAGTAGCCTAAGTTACTCCTTATAACACCAGCTATCTGCCAGTGAAATTCCCGTCGAAATCGGTCCAGCCGTTTCAGAGATTAGCCGGAACAAACAAACAGACAGGCAAAAATGTTAAAAATTGTGTTTTTGTTATAAGTACCGTATATACTTTCATATGTATTGAGTAAAAAGCTGTTATTTTGACGCTACAAATAGACATTTCAATTTTATTTATTTGTATAGATTTTATCAGGAAGATGCTGTTGGCCATCACCTGTTTGAATTTCCCTGTGTCGCCTCTTACGACACGCACGGGACGATATGTGGTAGTAGATATTTTTACACCGCCTCCACACGGCACTTGTTTGTTTAGTCGGAAATATTTTAAAATCTAACAATGTATAACGTCTGCATAGTTGAATCGCAAGGCCGCTTCCTTATCAACATTGTACGCCGAATTTACTGTGCGCACTTGTCTCTGCAAACCGGTTTGTGGGCTAGGCAAATATTTAAATGTGAACACTGAAACGTTTTACATACGCTCATGTAATGCAAAATAATTCAGCAGACACCCGCATTCTGGTTTAATTATGGAACTGTTGCTAGGAGAACTGAG